CTCTTGTGTTGTACGACCAGTATAGTATAAATACAAATGCTTCACTCGCTGAAGCAGTTCTTTTTGAGGCCTTAAGTCTGCAGCCTCTTCTCTTCTTCTTCTTCTTCTTCTTCTTCTTCTTCTTCTTCTTCTTCTTCCTCCTTCTTCTTCTTTCTGCTCAACAAGACCCATTCCCACCAATCCTGGAAAAGCTCTCTGAGCTCTCAAGTTTGACAATCTTTGTCAGTGACCTGACCAATCTGATGTACAAAGAATGCTTTCTAAAATGAGGTCTTAGTAGTAAATGGTTCAAAGTTCAAATCATACTAAATGCTTGAGAGGGACGGAGATGGAACACATTCTCTACACCACTTAATCCTCCAATGAAGGTGCACTCTTACTTGCTGTTAAACCGTCATCCTTGGCTATTGTTTTGAGATCCATCAGAGGTCTGACAACTTGGAGGTTGGAATTTCTACTTCCTAGTAGAGAGTCCTGGAATGCACATGTAGACATATTTCATTGAGTGATAAACATATCCTCTTTGAAGCAATCACAAGATTCATGCTAACTCTGTTTATCTTATTTTTAGAACTTTATGGTTTGCTTTAGAAGTCCAATTTGTGGGTTAAAGCATAATACACTATATCTCAAGAGGATCTGCCCTGAAAACAACAACATTCATATCTCACCCACCAAATGAAAAACAGAAAGAGGAGAAAGAAAACCAAAGGAAATCTCATCACAAATTTCTTAAGAATATACATATCTCATATTGCATTTTCTTTCTGCTCTAAGTAATGCAAGATGTAAGTACAATATTTGTGTGGTCTTTCTCAAAGAACTGACCAACCTAAAAGCTTAAGCTATTAAGTGAGGTTGCTGAGTAGTTTCTTTTTTTTTTTTTATAACATGCCCCCTCATGCGAAAGCCTATTGGGCTTGAAACGTGGACAAGCACAGGCCTACCCATACCTTGTTCTGCAATTTAATTAATTATAATGGGGGCGGTGAGGATCAAATTGAATGCTACACCACTTGGTCAAACAGGTTCTGATACCATCTCAAAGAACTGTGAGCAGGTTTTTATTCTCTAACAGTCTTTCCATTCAAAAAGGGTACTCGTTTTGACCTCTCGTTTTGCTTTTCTTGCTCTTGAAGAAGGACCAGAAAGCAGGTAAGCAACCACCAATGTGTCTGCAAAAGATATATACATATTTAGCTGCATGTTTATCAATTACGAATGTATATACAACACCTAACTGCATGTTTATACATGTAATTGTTACTTCATACCTGATAGATAATCCAACTTTACATTTTAGTTTTGGATTAGAATCAGAGTACATATTCTCTAACCAATTCTTATCTTTAGATTGGATGATGAAGACTTTGTCAGTTGATTTAAGTGGTAGCCATCCAGACTTAACAAACAGGTAACACTTGAGTCATTTTCAAGAAATCTGCTATTTTAAATGTTATAAAATTTCCAAATGCTTCGTGGTACTTGTACAAACCAATTTTGAAATGAACCCTTTTCACAAGGGCTGTCATTCCATTTATGAAGGCATCACAAGGGAAATTTTATGGAGTTCTTTTTCTTATGAAAGATAAATCAAAACTGGATCTAGAGGTATTAAAACAGACTTACCATCTCTTTATCTTCAAGCCTCTTTAATTCCAAAAATAGACAGGTCGCAAAAAAAATTAATCATGAAAGTGAAGGAAAAGAAAACTCCCTTTCCTTTATAACTAAAATCAAGCTTTTTAGACCTTTTAAAATTTAAGAATTGGTCAAATTGATGTCTATGTTATGTATATAATATTTTAGATTCTAAGCAGTTGAGGAAATACCTGCTTCTACTACTATTTCTGCTACTGCTGCTACCACTGCTCGAAGTGCTTCCTTTGCTTCCGCTATTGCTACTTGATCCACCGTAGTTACCCTCTCCTGCCACTGAGAGCCTTTTCTTCCACCACTCCTTATCCACACCTTTTTCAGGTCCCTCTAGCGATTGGGGTTTAGGAGAAACTTTAGAACAGCTACCTGTTGCTGAGTTCTTTTTGTTCTTCTTTTTTGAACCCATTCTAGTTGGGAAAAACATCTTAAGAAGAAAAACTCCACTATCCATGCTTCCATTTCGCATAATTTGCCTCTTCTTATCACTTTTCTTGATATTCCTTCTTCCTTTGTCACCCTGCATCTTGGCATCAATATTTAGAATCCCATCTTCATCCACAGTTGCTTGTTGAACTCCTGGCATAATTGGCTGCTCAACAAGATCTTTCAAAGATAGCTCGTAATTGGACTCGGGCATGTTTTGGATCATCTCCATCAATTCCCGCCGGCCTCTGGCAATAGCCTGTGAGCGAGATGCTGGGGAAAGATGGTAGTGGTGGTGGTTGTGCCGTGGGTTCAATGGTGAAGCTTCAGTAGGACTAGAGGGTGAACTTGCTTTCCACAAGGGTGGCGACGAGTTGCCGGATTCATCTTCAATTTGTGTTTGAGATCCAAAATCTATTCCACTGCTACCTTCTTTACCATAATTCTGATAATTTTGAGCTGTTCTTCGAGCCCAGATGCCCAAATCTATATTGCTTGAACTGTCATAACTGTCATTTATTCTGCTGCTATGGTTTCCAGCAAACCCTTGCCGGAGATCAAGCATTGTTTAGGGAGGGGTGAAAGGAAAGAGAAGTTGAAGGAGAACAGGAACTGTGGCCTTGTTAAGAATAAAAAGACTGAAGAGGTTGGCGTGGTTGCATTATTATCATCAATCCAAGTCTCTTGTCATTTTCTGCCTTTAATGGTGTGTGGTGCGGGTCATAAAAGTCAAGCACTTCTAGATGGGCATACGTAGGCCCAATCTCCTCATTTTCCGTTTCGTGTCATCCTTTTGTTTTCAGTTATGGGAAAAACTACCGTGTCCTTTTCCTTTTTTTAGTTCCTGATTACACTTAGGAGGATAAATAATGGGGATAGGAGGTCTTTTGTGAATCTCAGAATGCAGTTTGCACAATTTGGAAATGGACCAATGGTGAGTGAAATTTCTGCTTATGGCCAAACGGCCTGCCAAAGGACCTGCTTATTGACCCGGAAAGCTGGTCTGGTGGTGGGTTGGATGGTTCAACTAGCTGTTTCAACCGGCAAAGTGATCAAACCTATCAAAAACCCAGGACCCAGTCAACTGCTTACCGATTTGACCACCTGGGTCAACTACGGGTTAAAACGTTGGCTTGATCCTCAATTATATAAATAGGGTTCAAACTCTCCAACTGCTATTAATTCTGTAGCCAGGGCATAAAGAAGGTTACACAAGGATTACAATGCCTAACAGACAGGATACTGAAAAAAACTTGTAATCAATCAACGAGTATTCGTAAAAGTGGTAACCAATCAAGTGGGTTTTCATCAAAATTCATGGGGTTTTGATTGGTCAAAAAAAAAAAAAAACGGTAGCCAATCAGTTCATCAAAATTGGATTGTGATTTGTCAAGTCCTTTCTGGTATCATATCTTTCTGGCATCATTTCTCCTAATGAAAAAAAAGCCTTTTGTTCAAAATAAAACTGAAGTTTTGATGACCTTGGGGATCTTGGCATCATAGATTTCTCTAATGTATGCTGCGATTCATACTTCTTACTTAGTGGGATCTTGTTTGTGACATCAAGACTGGTTTGACAAAAAATAAGAGATAGAAAGTTGAGAGAGAGAGAGAATGTTCTCAAGGAATTTCACAAATTTTGTTGAAGTACTTTCTCTCAACTTTCTATGAGACCAAGACATAGCCTAATGGAAAAGAGAAAGGGAACTTTTTGGGTCTACGAATTTATGTGCATCAGTTTTTCTGGTTGCTGATGTACAAAATAAAAGGTATTTACAACCAGTGTCAACTTTCAACCCTTTGAACCTTGGGTTGAATGTGTCGCCTGACCTGAGCTTTAAGCCAACGAAAGAAGGGGGGTTTGCTTTTCTGCTTTGTTTGTTCGTGTTTGGGTCTATTTGTTTGTGCTGTAATTTCACTTGCACTAGTAGTACAAATAAATGAAAGTTCAGACATGAAAATCACAAATTTTGCTTTCCGTTGAGTTCTACCATATTTGGCTTCAGGTTTTAATGTTTTATCATACTTTGCATTATTATGAAAGAAAAAAATAATGCAAAACCCATAACAAAATTAAACCAAAATTTGGACTTGGAGGCTCTAAACTTTTTCACCAAGGCCAATGATTTCAACAGAAGGGATATGTCTGACATTAGGAGAAAAGACAAGGCCAGAGCAGTTCTCAAACCATATATTAGGTGGACAGAATGAAGCCCCACCCAGCTTTGTCTGTTCTTTGTAGCCTAAAAGTCTTTGCTTTTATTGTCAAGAGTCTGAATCACAACAATACTTTATTAACACAAATTCTTGATCATATGTTTTCAATGTGATCTCCTTACATGGGAACAGATACAACAAAGTAAGAGAATCACATGGTGGGACCCACGAAGATACACGTGTGGCAAGTCATTCACACAAGAAAATTAGGGTTTTTCTCTCTTTCTGCGTTTGGGTTTTCTAGAAGATATCTTGGGTGATTGGTCTAGATAATTGGGCCTCTCTTATCATCCATATATATATATATATATATATTTTGCTTAAGACTGATGGTAGAATTATCAATTATCTGCTTGAAAACTACTTAGTGATGGGAACCTGACCGTCCGATATGATCATGATCATATGTCTGTCACATTGCTGACATATCTGACCGTTGATGGTGACCTAACAGAAAATCTTGGGAGAATTATAAAATTGGGTCATACGACAGCAAGAAGGGAGTAGTCTCCCTTTTGGGGAAGACTTGACTTCTGAGCAAAAGATAAATTGTTCACGCCAGAAGACCCATGCCGTAACTAATGACGAAATTTCATTTTAATTTTTTGTCATCGGTATTGGGTCTATAATGTCCATGAAATTCAGCGAGATTTTGGTTTTTTTGGCTGCAGTCAATGAAATGAAATGTGAAAAACATTGGTGGGAATTTTGAGAATAATATTAAAATAGTAAAATGAACTATATAAATGTAAATTTAAATTTTGTTGGAAAATTTTGCTTTGGATATAAGACCTGAGAGAGAGAGAGAGAGATGGGTTTATTAGTTAATAGCAGATTTGATGGTTCAACTGGTTGATTTGCTTTGTGAAATTATCAAAATCACCCATATGAACTCTCTTTGTCACAAAGGGTCACCGGTTGATATACAAAAGTTATAAATAGTAAATCAATATATTAATATATAAGATAAAAATAATTTTTTTTATTTTCTTTATTTTAAAATTAATGAGGTAGACTCGGATCAAATCCGAATCCGAACTGAGACCCCACCATCCAATTAAATTTCGGGTCAGATTTGGATTTGAAGTTCCAATGGTTGGATCAGATTTGGATGTGGTTGGTCTGGATTGAATCCGATCTGATTACAGCTACAAGTGTAATAAAGAAATCAAGGGATATTGAGCTTTGGATACAAAGAAACTTTGGAAAGGAATATCATAACCTCTTCTCCATTTGTTTCATCATTATTCTTCTCTTGGACTCTAAGATAATCATACCAACAAAACTTTAAGGAACAGAACATTGAAAGGGAAAAAGCAGTCTTTGCTAACAGGTTGTTCAAGACAAGTCTTTCTCCTAAACAAACTCCACCAGAAAGATATTCAAGTGGGATATGGCCTCACTTAGATGAATAGAAGACAAGCAATGAATTGAAATTTGAAATTATGATGTTAAGTTTGTTGAGAAGCCAATTTTTAGGCTTATCATGATTTTAGTTGGGATTCAAATTTTGTACCCTGTTGTGCACATGCAGGTGCAAAGGGTTGCTTCATTTGAAGAATCTCAATTACAATGGGCTTGAGATCAGACATGGGCCCATTCAGACGTGGTCTCTGTGTGTACACATACAAGTGAAAATTGGGTTGCTCCATTTGAAAGAATTTCATCTACACTGGGCTTGAGTTCAAAAGTTGGCCCATTCAAAATTTTAAAATGCTCAACCCAATCTGACCCAAGTTGCACCCCTAATAAAATGTGGGTCCATCAATGTAAAAGTCCTTAGATCGCAGTTCACAAGTACTGGTCGCAGGTCAGATTTTTGTCTTTGCCATTTCCTTTGATAGAAAACCATGACAGAAGCTTTGGCATATTATGATATAAAAGAAGCTACGTAGAACATATACTATTCAATGTAAGATTTCTTTCCTAATAGAAGATAGAAATAACCCAAAACTTGTACATCAAAATAACTGTCTCTATAAAATCATGAATATATGGTAAGAAAATTTAATAATTTATAAGAGAAACCCAGTGCTTCATGCACTCAACTGAAGACAGTAGGGGTGCTCATAAAAAACCGAACTAAAAAATCTGATTAACTGAACCTATCGGTTTGGTTTTGAGTCAATATTTTTCAGTAACTGAAGACAGTACGGGTCCAGCTTTTGGTTAACCTAGAAAAAACCTACAGTTAACCAAACAAATATAAAAATACATATTATAAATATAAAAATCTGAAAAGTAGAAGAACCAAACCAATCGAAAACTGAGTTGATCAACCAGTTAACTGGTTGATTTGGTTTGGTTTCAGTTCAGAACATTGCAGAAACCAAATGGACTGGTTCAGTTTGAAATTTATGCTCACGCAAGACCCTTGGAATGAGGAGATGCAGAAAAAAGAATATTTAGGGGGTGTTCTACAATGTGAATGTTTTTGTTTTCATTTACTTTTGAAATCATCAAAAGAAACAAAAATACACTCATTTTTTCAAAAGCAAAAAACAAGTTGGTTATGTTTTAAAAGACCATACATGTTTTTGAAACGATTGAAATAATGGTTTTTAAAACAAATTTTTGTTATGTAGAAATTATATGATTTATGGAATGTGATATTAATTAAACAGATAAAACGACTCTTTTAATGGTTGAACTTTGCCTTCTAAAACATGCCAAATTGACCTCTTTACAAGCCAGGTGGCTCATTTTCTTTTATGATCCAAAAATTGCATGGATCAGACAGTTCAATAATCCAATTCAACCTCTCAAGTCATTCAAATAAAAATGGGGTGGAGAGTGATTGTCCTAGATGCCATGGTATCCAAAAAGAATAATGCTAAGGTCCCCAAGGGAGAGCCCCTAGGTTGAAATTAACAAGTTTGTCCTCGTTTCTTTGCACCTCATTTGCTAGCCAGTCCACAGCTCAATTTGCTTGTAGATGATTCAACCTCGCACATCTTCTTTATCGCCAGACAGTCATTGATGATGTTCTTCAATTTCTAGGGCAGGTTCAGAACTTACTATAAGCAAAGAATAAATAGTTTGGAATCTCCCTTAGTAGTTATGGGAAAACCCATGAAATTAAGAGCCATGTTATGGGCTTCCATAGCAGCCCAAGCCTTGGCCATATTAATCGTTGTTATCCCTTAGTAGTTATAGGCTTTAATATCAAGAACATGACCAAGATGATTCCTCGCAATTCTACCAATTGAACAATTCCCCAAGTTGTTGCGTAAAGCATCAAAATTTATTTTTATCCTAGCAAATCCTTTGTGGGAAGTCCATTGTTGAGAAGGAGATACAAAAATGATTTTAACTTTGGGTGGGCGCTCGAGCTTCCACATATTAGTATTCCAATTAAAGGTCGAATCCAACTTGGTCGCTGAAATGCATTTGACATTATAAACAATTTTGACCAACAACTCCCCATCGG